GAAGACTGGGAGAGACTTTCACTGGCAGGCAGGGAAATAAGACTGTAAAAAGTATAATTAGTTAAGACTTCTTTTGTTCTGGGTCCCCAGAGGCACCCAGCTCAAGCTGTTGCTCTGTCATTTAATTAAATAATTAATTTTGCTGTTATACACGCGTGAATCTCTGCTCCTCAGACACCTAGGGTCGAACTGCTTCCACAACAAGAAATAAACACAGAGATTTCACTGAATCCAGTATTTTAGTCACATGACTACCTCAACTAAGCAGCTGAAAGACAGGAGAAAATCTAGTGCCTAGACTAAACAGAAAAAAAATCAAAAAAAAAAAGTAAGCCATATATCATCCATTAGCCTACCATCAGTGTTCTCCAATTTCTTTCAATTCAGACCTTCATGACCTTATTTCCCTTTTTACAATTTTTACTAAAAATACACCCTCTTTCAGAGTGTACTCCCTACAGTAGAAACCAATGAATATGGCAAATAAAAGTTGTATGCAAGCAATAAGACCACAAAAGTGCCATTTACACATTTTTTTTTAATTTGAATTACCAACTGCGTCTATATATTGGACATCATATTGCATGTTTTTGACATGTCAAGGACAGGTGAAACCAGATGCAACTCAAAAGCCAATGCTGCACACGTAATTCACGTGATCTTATTAACAAGACGCTCAAAACAAGTCCCAGGAAAATACTCATGAAACCTTTTTTCTATATAGTGAATTTGCTCAAGAACGACGACTTCATCACACATTATCATACATCATTAAGAATAGTCTCCTGTGATGCATGGAAAAACTTCTCAACCAAAAGGCATGAATTCAGAAAAAAGAGTGCTTTTGTTATATTTAGGAAAATGACTAAGTATTAAACATTGTGCAAAAGACTAATTCAGGTCAGAAAAAATATTAATACCACAGTTGATTTGAAAATTTCAGGCACCTAAGATTGGAACACCAAACTGAAATTTGCTTTCTAAAAGGCATCTATATTCAGCTCAGAAGCTATGAATTCTCAGCGTAAACTAGAAATAGTTTTATTATCTAGTTGCTGCTGATAGCCTTTTCCACTGCCCATCCTTGTTTGGGTTTTGAGTAATCCCAAGGTCTCCTATTCTCTGTATACCCATATAGTTTCCGCAGTGCTACACGGGCAGCTTCTTCTTCTGCAGCAAGCAGCGTTTCACCAGGACCTTCAGCTATAATCTTTTTATCACTAAAAAGAACAAAACAAAACAAAATTAATAATTAAGGATATATTTTCATCATAAAAACCTGAGCACTATACTGTCTGCTATGAATAGGGGACTGCTAATTTTTTTTCCTCCAATGCCTGTGAATACTGAAGGTAATTTCTGTATGCATACAAATGCAAACACCTCTGTTGGTCTTTCTTATAAAGGCAAGCGACTGTATACTCAGTGACGGAAACTCAAATCAGAAATGCATCTACATTCTGGGAGAATATTACTCTGTTCATTCAGATTCCTAACACCTTACTCGTTGTTTACATTGATAAATTTCTGTTAGCCTTGTTAAAAATACGCAAGTCTGTCATTTTTGGTTAGCTGAAGCAACAAATAAAACAATTCTATGTTTACTCCTCCCCTGGTAGGAGAACATTTTTAAAAATTCAATAGGATTCACAAAGAAGTCTGCTGTGTTATTTAGCTCTCTGCTTAAACAGCATCTGTGGGCACTGAATAGGAACGGTTCATGATGAGAATACAGAGCCTCCAGAAAAAAATCCAAAGTTTTTTACATATATATTTATACACACACACGTGTGTGTATGCGTGTGTATATATAGATATCTATTTTATATATATACACACACACATACATATACATACACACATGATATCAACTCTTAGAAAGCATATAAACCAAAGCACAATAATTCAGCACAAGCTAGGGCAACTGCTCCTTCTCATGTATTTATCAGTAGCTCACTTAGCAAAGCAGCAATGTGGGATTTGGTGGAACAAGGTCTTGTCCTCCTCCAGTGGAGCAATCTGACCACTGGACAAAACAACAGGACAGCTGCTGACCATGCCTGAGACACAAGCAATCCAGGGACAACTGCCACTTCCTAAATCTTATCTGAGTACAAACCAGCCCTTTTGCCTAGATTACAAGGCCCATGATTTGACCCCTAACTAAAAATCTTCTTTAGAATGTAAAAGGAGCCTCTCCTCAGTTCCAACTCTCTTGATGTCCCTCTTTATCCTTCCCTAACCTTGCAATCAGCTGTGACCTTCCAAAGCTATTCAGTTATGTTACTTGCAAAGTTCCTAGGCCAGCTCAATCAGCAGATACACTCAAGACTCTTTCCTGGGTCCATTTCAGCTTGTGAAGTCCTTTAGTCTGAGACAATCTTTTTAAGCATCATGATGGCAAGTCACTGACAAGGCTCAAGTAGCTTATTTTATATGAAAGTCACTATACGGTTTCTTCTCTGTAATATCTGGACCAAAGAGCACATGAGTAAAAAGTAAAAGACCATCTTCCCTTCTTCCCTCTCCCCCAGCTTACATCCATTTGACTCGGGATTAATATCGTACTAACCAGTACAACCCAACAAAGTACACTGGCAGAACTGTGCTGACTCCCGACTGCCTGGTAATTCTTGGTTCTGGAGAAGAGATATTCCTCTTGGTCAATTCTTCCACAAGCAAGCCCATAGGATTTATAAGTTCCCAGATCTCAAACAGGTCTTTTCCAATCAGTTGAGGAATTAAAAAATCCTAGACAGAGAATATTTAGAAGTTACCATTAATGGGAAGCGAATGAAGGCTCTAGCTTCTGGTACCTGCTAATAAAAATACAACATGCAGAGGCATTAATACAGTCAATGATAAGTTGCTGAAATCAATTATGAAACAGCCCTAGCACTACATCACTCCTAAGTAAAGTTAACTAGTGCTACTAAGCGCTAAGCAGATCTATTTCTCATTTAGCCACTTACAGGATGGGCATCCTGGGCAAAGTCAACCTGCTCAAATACAAAGAAGGACAGCACCACCTTGAGAGAAGGACAGCACTCTGAGCACTTTAGTGCTATTAGCGGACAGTCCCAATCAGATATCAGTGGTACCTCAGAGGGTTTTTGGAAACAAGTTGAGGAGAATATGCAGTCTCCTGGGATTTTCACCTGTCCAGATCATTCTCTGCTTCCTGCTCTTACAAAGACCTCAGGACTGTCTTGTATCATAAATAAGATTTTAGCAGACATTTCTCCATTGCAAAATTAGAAATAAGTGAAAAGCACAATCGAAAGGATAGTACCTGCCCAAACCACTTGTGACACTGCATTTTAATCAAGCAATAATACCGAACAATTTTGTATGAAAATACCTTTCTAGGGTTGGCAGTCCTAAGCGCAAGACTTACGAATTCAGCACCTGCTAAGTGTAAGATATTTTTATAAACTGAAAGTATATAACATGTGACCTTGCTTGGAATGGTTTCACTATTTAGTAGTTAGTATAGTAAAAGTAAGAAAACATTTACCCTTAGCAAGTGTCAGCAAATATTAAAATATCACTGTTATAAACTGAAAGTAAATGATCTTGTGTATCTAAACAGTCTATGCTTTTGGAAAAGAAAGAAAATAGACAAATAACAGACCTCATTGTGCTTTTGCAGGTATCATTAAACTTCTGTCAGCCCCTCTGGATCTCTGGCCACCAGAATATACTCAATTGCTGCCTTTTTTTTTTTTTCTTGTAGTCTCTGACAGAAACCCTTAGATGTTTCTACTACTGTCATTAGTTCAAAAGTACACAAGTAACGACTTACCCTGACAAAGATCTCTGTTTTCTCAGGCCCACTGCTATGAAGCAGCGCTCCTATTACAGCAAAGAACGTCCTCTGCAGCACACGTGGTGGGACAGGAAACTCTGCGCAAAGCGTCAGGTCCTGTACGGACAGGTTCTGAGCCACATAAGACACAAGTTCCTGACTGGTAAGAAAATCAACAAGCGCTCCTATTCCCTTTGCAGGTAAATTTGGGTAGGCGCCTTCAAAACACTGTGTGAGGTAAGACCGTGAAAAGGATTCCCCTTGTTCTGAAAGTTTAGTATTATCTTGGAGATTCAGGGCAACCGCTTCTTTGTCTACCCCAAGTCCTTGGCGCCTTGCCTCTTCAGCTTTAATGTAACAAGAATTAACAAACGCAGTTTTGAGAAGCTCCAAAGAAAAATTCTCATGTAATCGGTGGCTAAAAGCTTGTATCTCCGCATGGTAATCCCAGTTGGGCTTCTCTGATCTACCGACACAGAAAAGAAAACAAATTCAGAAACGGAACGAGCAGCTACCCGTATCACAAGCCCCTTACATGTGAGACTACAAAAAGAGAACGAAAATAAGGATATTATTTCAGGGCCTTCAGAACAAATACAATTTCCCAACTTCCAGGTACAGGAAAAACAGTTCTGTTTTTCAAGATCAACCCTAGGCCCCCTAACGTTTAAATGGAGATTTCTTTCTGTTAACGTTATCAGTTCGGGGGCCGGGGCCGGG